TTAGAAAGGTTGAGAACCACTGTTTTATAACCATTCAAAATGTTAATAACACTTCTATTGAAAAATAAGGATGCAGATTATGAGAAAAGGGGAGTAAATAGTAGTTTAATATCAATAAATTAAACCCGGCATGCTGTAGCTGGTGTGGCTCAGTGGATAGAGTGTGGGCCTGCAGACTGAAGAGTCTTGAGTTAGATTTCTAGTCAAGGGCACATGCCCAGGTTGTGGGCTCGATCCCCAATAGGAGGCGTGCAGGAGGTAGCCGATCCATGATTCTCTCATCACTGATGTTTCTCTCTCTCTCTATCTCTCCCTTCCTCTCTGAAATCAATAAAAAATATTTAAAAAATATTTTAAACACATCAGATTTAGAGATAAGCAAGCTCTGTTATTATTATGGTTAAATAGGCTAAAATTTGGAAAGCTAGGTCTTGCAATTTTGGTGATAGCATAAGACATTCAGGAATCCTAAGAGGACAACATATTGAACAACCTTGGGTAACTCCAAGGAGATCAAAGATTCTTAAAAACAGTTATATTAAAGCCACTAGCTGTAGCAAGTACAAAGTTATTGACTATTTCTGCTTAGAAGTACACATTAAGCAAGGAACAGCATCGCACTATGCTCCTGTTCCCAGACAGGAGTGTACAGAAAAGAAGCATCATTCTAGATGATAAAGTATATTATCAACACAAATTAGCAAAAATAAGACAAAAAGAAGCCCTATCACATTCAACATATTCATAAGTTTAATCAAATAATTTAAGAAAAATATATGTATTTATGAATGCTAATAAGTTTTAAAAGGTCTCTTCTATTTCTTATTAAATGCTAATTTATTAAAAGGCAGAATCATGGATATAAGTTAATATGCAACTTATTTTTAGAGAAATTAGATTATTTTCTTATGTAATAAAGAGAAAAAATGAGCACAACAGCATAATGTATACATATAGATTACTCAGTCACATATCTACAATTCACTGATTTAGTCATTGATATAGTATTTCACTAGTGCACACACACAAATTATAGCAGGTGTCATCCTTAGGAAGACATGGTTGCAAAGTTGACCGTTGGCTTGCATCTGGGAACTTGGATTTTAGGAATGTTCTTACCATTTCCTGTTAAAACTGGCTCACTGTACCTATACTGTTTATGTAAAAATCTGATTTATGTTAAACAATTGCTTTTCACTTAAGAGTCTGTAACTTTGGCTGCCTATGTGACTAGTCCCAGGTAAAATCCTGGGCACTGAGTCTTTAATGAGCTTCCATGGTAGGATTTCACATGTGTTATAATAATTAGTTTTTGAAAGAATCAGATCTATCCTGTGTGACTTTACTCGGAAAAGATGCTTGGTTCACCTGAACTTTACCACATGCATCTTGATGGCATTTTGATTTGTATCCTTTATTGTAATAAAGTACAGCCAGGAATACAATTATATGCTGAGTCCTATGGTCTTCCTAGCATTCCTTTAACCCAGGATGGTCTTGAGAATGCTGGCCTGTTGGTGTCAGGAGTGGGATTCACTAGAACCGACTCACTGAAACATAGTGAGAGCATTGTTTGGGGAAAGCAAGGATGAAATGGTAGGATAACAAATCTTTCCTGCTTGGGTGACTATGAGCAGCAGCTGAGTTGGTATCTGCTGTGAGAGGGAAGAGCTATCTATGAAATTTAAAAATAACCCCAGGCGAGTTGGCTTGCTTAATTTCCTGGCTGCTTTTGGTCATGTTGATTCAAGTCAGAAGAGAAGCAGCACAGCCTGGATGATGCACTTGGTTTTTGTTCTCACATCCAAGTAGGAGGAGAAAATACCTAAATGTTCCCACAGGTAAGCTTTTGGTGGACCACAAAGGTTAAACTTTTGTGATGCTCTCTTCTAAGCAAGAGGAAATAAGTTAAATTAGATCCCAGGGCTGGGAAAGGGTTGAGAGAAACCAAGGGAGAAGAAACCACTCCCAACTGTTTCTTCAGCATAACTTGCTGCAGCAACAGCCCCTCCCTACGGCTTCCATTTCAATCAGGATCTCCCAGCAACCGTGGTAATGTTCTAAATGCTGACTTCTACTCCCAGGATTTGAGTAAGTTTGTAATGAAAAAAGGGGAAGTTTAAAAAGATGGCTTTGTATTTTGTAACTACTGAATATGGATGTATGATAAAGATATAAAATATATGTTTGTACTCTCATAAGTGCTACAGGGATCATATCAATCAGAAAAAGTTGTAAAATAAAAAGTTAGCAATACACACCCTCCCTGCTTTTTATTGCTGGTGAGGGGATTGGAATTTAAAGTGTTTAAGTATTGGAAACAGAATAAGTCTCTGTAATGAATGATATTTACTGTTATTTTTACCTATTGGTGTGTCGAGAAGAGGGAGACAACATGAAAACAAAGAAAATCTTCAGATAGCAATACACTTTGGGAGTTTCAAAACACAGTTGTTAGTTGCTACTGAGCTCTTTTGAAATCAGATGTCTGGCACTTAGAGGCTGATGATCTTCCAGACTGATATGCATACTTTTGAGTGGATCAATTTGGAATCTAAGAGTAAAATAGGCTTAGAAAAGTCTTGTCACTGGGGTGTGGAACATGACTGTCTGCTCTATCATGTATTGTCTTTGCTAATGCTGAAGAAGAGTCATTGGCTTTTTTGGAATCCTGAATTCACAAATCCTAATTGCCTGGATCTGAACCTAAGCTGAAACCTGATAATGTCTGGTGTTGGGCTGTTTGTACTTCAACACAAGTGTACTGAACTAAAGCAGGCATATGCTCAATGAACTCGTTTTTGACGTGATTGCTGAAGATTTAAGACACACTTCTGTGGAGCCATAAGCCAAAAACTTCATGTATTTTGGTTGGACCATCAGAATCACTTGCAATGCCCACAGAAAAGGACTTATTCTCTGATGGACCATCTGAAATCAAGCTGCCTGGTTTTATCTAAGTATATTCTTAACTTGTGGTTACTGACAAAAGCTCTAGTTGGCAAAGGGCACTGTACTCGCTCCTTCCAGCCCGGAATCTCCATTGCTCTCAGGGATCTCTCACTACTACTGACTTCTGTTCAACTTTCTGGATTAGCTGCAGTTTTCAACAATATGTAATAACTTGACTCTATTTCTCTTACTTTTACCTCACCCCTCCTTGTACACACATCTTAGTTAGGCAACTTGGTTATTAAACACAGTTATCTTCAGAGGAACTAACCTTTTCCAGGCTGTTAATCTATTTTGAAAGTTTTGAAAACTCGGGATTTCATCCAGACCAATCCCTAAACATGGTATATCTTTCTAGTTAGATTGTACAAAAATGCCTTCCTATACAAATGTTTTTGTTCCTCTTGCAGGTCTGGATAATTGGGGAAAATGAATAATTTTCATTAATGCATTGGACATAATGATTTTATAAGGGAGAGAAAACAAAATACCATCAGGGGAGGAGGATATTAATCACTTTTGTTTTTCAGAACTATTCTTGAAAGCTTTCATCTCTTCCTGGGAAAAAGAAAACAAAACAAAAAAACAAACACACACAAATAAACAAAAACAAAAAAACTCCTATTGTTGACTTTCCATGCTGCTGTGAATGCTTTGAATTCAAGCTGACTGCCGAGTTTCTAATCACACCTAACAGTGCTCCGAGACAGTAGGGAATAGCCTCAATTATAACACTTCCCACACAGACCAACTCTAAATGTGGAAATGAACCAGTGAGACAAATAAACTGGTGTCACAGATAAATGAAATTGTTTGGAATTAATTGCTTTCAGGCAGTCCAAGCCTGAAATCAAGGCCTGAACTGGATTATCTGGACTGGATTAGCGACTCTAGAATGAAAAGCCTCCTGGGAGGAGGGCACACTAGGGGGCCTTCTTAACCTATACTATATATTTTTTTTTTTCTTTCTTTTTTTTTTTTACACTGACTATGGTATGTCTTGCTTGAGGTGCCCTAACAATTGTAAACTATTTGTTTCCAAGAGTACCATGTACACCCTCTAAGATTGTACTCCTTTATTTGTGTACCCTATCATGACTCTGCTTGAACCCTGTAAGTGTTCAGGTCTGCTTCAATTTATAGGCCAAAGTTGTACTTTGCCTGAATTGATACTTCAGGCCATGTAAAAAAGATCCATACAGAAAGTCACCGACTTTTCTAAGACAAACCTCATGGTTAATGGGATTTATTTTAACTAACTAAATCCAGGGCCTCTAAAAGATGTAACTGAGATCAATTCTATAGGTTGGTCTTGCTTTGCTGTGTAGAAGTCTTCCTGATAATAGCTTTGCTGTAAAGACATTTGGCCTTCGGCTAGAAATTAACACAGCAGACAGGACACTGTATTCCTTAGAAAGGCCTGCTTGGCCTGGGCTGGATTCTGAGAACTTGAATGGTCAACAGTTTCCCACACTGACAAAACTTTCCTGAAATGGTAAGAATGGCTAACTGTGTCTAATAATCTATTTTTGTAAATAGTATGGTTTTCAATGAACACATGCTCTCTTTTTCTGAAGGTCTGAATTTTTCGTACATGACAGGCAAAGGCTGCCTATGTGACCAGCCTCCAATAAAAACTCCGGCACAGAGTCTCTAATGAGCTCCCTGGAAAGACAACACATCACATATGTTGTCAATCTTGTTGGTGGGGAAGTTAAGTGTGCTCCATGTGACTCTACTGGGCGAATACTCTTGGCAGTTTGGGTGTCTTTCCTCAGACTTCACCCCATGTGCCTTTTCCCCCTTGCTGATTTTGCTTTGTATCCTTCTGCTATAATAAATCATAGCTGTGAGTATAACTACATGTTCAGTCGTGAGTCCTTGCAGATCACTGAAATTAGGGGTGGTCTTGAGGACCCCCCAACATAAATAGTAATACTTTTAAACAAGTAAATAGATCAACAGAGTAACATTTCACTTGAATATAGAAATGCACCACCAAAATTTCCTTTATGTTAGCAAAAAGTTAGAATTAATGAATTACTTACGAAAACAGATCAAACCACTGCTGTTTTGTAACAGACTCTTGGCGTAAAAGCTTCAAAACAATTGGACGCATGAAATCCCATTTGTCTTCAAACTGAAGAGAACCTTTATTCTTTGATAAAAAGAAAAGGATAAATAATAGTTTAATTTAAATGCAGTTAAATCAAAAGTGTTTATTTTTATTTTTTAAAAGATAGCAAGAGAAATTTAAAAGAATCAGTTTTCTATAATGGAAACCCTATAAATTTAATCTGGTATCAAGAAATCAAAGGTCGACAACCATAAAAAAATCAATGGTACAAAATTGAAGAATTTGGTCTTGTCCAAAGCGAAGGTCTACCCTTTGCCCTTGGCTTCTAGTCTGGGCCCTTGGAATGTTATGGCATTATTTGCCCGGGGACCTTGGTTCATACTGAATCTGCTAACACTGTGAATTAGGGAGGGAACTAACCAAACCCACACAGTCTTTGGGCAGGGACTAGCCAATCTGAAAACAATTAACAAAGTAAATTAGGGTGGAGGCTTTGGTTCAATCAACCTAGAGACTGAGATTACCCATGTGAGCAATCAATCCTGCCCTCATGTATGTAGCTGGTGTCAGAAATGAGGGTGGTCATGTGTGCAAAGAATATGGCCCTAAGAAACTCATTATTGATTTCACTGTATGACTTATTGAGGGGTGTTGCTTACTTGTATCAGATAAGATACATGCACTGACTGCATGGAATCTGAAAACTCCCTAAAACTATAACCCAGAAGCAGTTTTAATTTATTTTTAAAATACATTTTATTGATTTCACAGAGGAAGGGAGAGGGAGAGATAGAAACATCAATGATGAGAGAGAATCACCGATTGGCTGCCTCCTGTACACCCCACACAAGGAATCGAGCCCACAACCTGGGCATGTGCCCTGACCAGGAATCGAACCATGACCCCCTGGTTCATAGATCGATGCTCAATCACTGAGCCATGCTGGCTGGGTCAGAAGCAGTTTTTAAACATATGATCTGACAAGAACCTACACCAGAATCACCTAGGATGGTGATTACACATACAGATTTCTAAAACCTAACTCAGACCTGCTGGATCAGAATCTCTTTTTTTCTTAAAAACATTTTCTTTGACTTCAGACAGGAAAGGAGAGGGAAAGATAGAAACATCAATGATGAGAGAGAATCATTGATTGGCTGCCCCTTGCATGCCCTGCACTGGAAACTGAGCCCATAATTTGGGCATGTGCCTCACCAGGAATAATCTCCTGGTTCATAGGTTGGCACTTAACCACTGAGCAATGCCAGCCGGGCTAGGTCAGAATCTCTTAAGGTGAGATTAGAATTTGCAAGTATAACAAATTCATGATAAAAGTACACAAAAATGTTGAGAGTTTATGACTCAAAAAAGGTTAGAAATCACTAATATTAAACTCTATGAAAGCAAGTGATCCTTCTTACACCTACAAACACAGTTGATCCTAAAACTTATTGTACTGTCTCATCCAAGGTATGTACTTTAAATTTTTATTTTTATTTTATAGAAAGGGGGGGAGGAGGGAGAAAGAGGGAGAGAGGGAAAGAGAAAAGGAGAGAAACAATGATTGGTTGCCTCCCATATGCATCCAACTTAGGATCAAGTCCACAACCTAGGCATGTGGCCTGACCAGGTATTGAGCTGTAACCTTTTGATGTATGGGATGACACTCCAACAACTGGGCACAAATCTTCTTGACTATGACATGGAGAATCATAATTTCCTCTTAGTAAAAGGATATTTAATAATGTCAATTAAGTCTATTTCCATAAGTCATTTTGGCAATTTATAAAATAAAATGTAGCATAAATCCTTCAATTAAAATTAAAAAGATTCAGAGGACTAGAATAAACAGGTATTTGAGATAAATTAAATACTGGTAAGGCTCTGAAATCTATCAGCTATGGCAAAACAACAGGAAATACATTTTGGTGCTCCTGCTTGATGAAACATACAGAATTAACTACAGAAACACTTTCTCTTAATAATCAATTAAAGAAGGAACTTAATAATTAAATGTTTTCTATTAAGTTTTTATATAGGTACAAAAATGATACTCAAGCAGTTCTTTGACCTATTCTATTTAACTCCAGGGAATACCATTAAGTCATAACTAAACAGTAGGACATCAAGCCTACTATCCACGAAACACAATACCTTATTTTGTGAAGGGACCTTCAAATTATGAACCATGATTTATGTTTCCAATGGTTGATAGAAGGCTGCCTCATCTCTATTAATGTGCTAAAGTATTTTCTGCTTTAATTCTTTCATTATTATTCAGAACTCACCAAATGCTATTAAGTCTAGGATTATCTCACCCACTGGCTCTTTTGCATCAAAAGGATTTCAACATTTGCCATACCCTTCTATTATTCACTTCTTATGACACAACTAATTCCTTCACAGGCACTCTTCTCACACAGATAGGCTGTGGGGAAGCCAATGGGAGCTAGCCATGAAGATATGTGGGGGAGGAGTACTGCAGGCAGAGAAGCAGCCCTTACAAAGACCCTAATCCCAACATAGAAGGATGTTAGTTGTATTAAGGGTAGAGCAAAGCAAGAACAGAGGAAAGCACAGATGAGATCAGAAATACAACAAAGGTTGGATCTTGTAGGGCCTTGAAGGCCATTATAAAGACTTTGGCTTCAATGTAAGTGAAATGGGGAACCATTAAAAAATTTTGAGCCCTAGCCGGTTTGGCTCAGTGGATAGAGTGTCTGCCAGGTTCAATTTCCATCAAGGGCATGTACCTGGTTGCAGGCTCCTCCCTAGCTCAGGTCTTGATCGAGGCACATGCAGAAGGCAACCAATTGATGTGTTTCTCTCACATGATACTTCTCTCTGTCTTTCTCTCTCTCTCAAAAGCAATAGAAAAATATCCTCAGGTGAGTATTAAAAGAAAACAAGGAACAAAACAGAGAACAGAAAAATAGATCTCAAATGGCCAGGACTGGTTTGGCTCAGTGGATGGAGTGTCGGCCTGCAGACTGAAGGATCCCGGGTTCGCTTCCGGTCCAGGCATGTACCTTGGTTGCGGGCACATCTCCAGTGGGGGATGTGCGGGAAGCACTGGTCGGTGTTTTTCTCTCATCGAAGTTTCTAACTCTCTGTCCCTCTCAATTCCTCTCTGTGTAAAATCAATAAAATATATTTTTTTAAAAATAGATCTCAAATATATACAATTCATTTAAAAATATTTTTTTGAGCCCTGGGTGGTGTGTCTCAATGGTTGGAGCATCATGCATTGCATCAAAAGATGGGGGTTCACTCTAACCGGTTTGGTTCAGTGGATAGAGCCTCGGCCTGCAAACTGAAGGGTCCCAGGTTGGATTCCAGCAAGGGCATGTACCTTGGTTTCAGGAACATCCCTGTAGGGGGTGTGCAGGAGGCAGTGATGGATATTTCTAACTCTCTATCCCTCTCCCCTCCTTCCTGTAAAAAATCAATAAAATATAAACATAGTAAAAAAAAAATGGTAGGTTCGATCTGCTGTCGGGGTTTGTGTGTGAGGCAACCAATAGATGTTTCTCAGTCACAATGTTGTTTCCCTCCCTCTTTCTCTAGCTCTGCCCCTCACCGCTCCCTCTCACTCTACAATAAATGAAAAACATATCCTTGGATGAGGATTAAAAAGTAAAAAAAAAAAAAGTTGTTCAACATTACTAATCATAAGAGAAATGCAAATCAAAACCATGAGATGCCGTAGATAAATGGCTACCATAGATAAAGCAACAAACAAGTGTTGGGGAGGCTGTGGAGAAAAGGGAACCCCGGTGCGCCGTATGGCAGTGCAACCACTATGGAAAACGTTGAAGAGGTTCCTCAAAAAATTAAAAATGGAACTGCCTTATGACTAGTGATTGCACTTCTGGGAATACCTCTGAAGAAACACCAAACACTAATTCGAAAAAGTACATGCACCCCTTGTTCATTGCAGCATTATTTACAACAGCCAAGAAGATATGGAAGCAGCTCAAGTGCCCACCAGTAGAAGAGTGGATAAAAAAGCTGTGGTACATTTACACAATGGACACTACTCAGCCGTAAAAAAGAATGAAGCTTTATCTTTTGCAACAACATAGATGGATCTGGAGCAAGCATACAGGCCACATGCCTAGTTTATTTGGCCTATGTTAGCCTTTGAGTTTGACATGCTTGCTTTAGAGGGTATTATGCTAAGTAATGTAAGTCAGACAAAGAAAGACAAATACTATATGATTTCACTCACATGTGAAATCTAATGAACAAAATAAACAAAATAGACTCATAGATACAGAGAAGAGACTGACAGTTGTCAGAAGGGAGGGGATTGAGAGCTGAGTGGAAAAAGTGAAGGGATGAAGCAGTACAAATTGGTAGTTACAGAACAGTTAGAGATGTAGATTTCAGCGTAGGGATTATAGTCAACTAAATGCCCAGTGCACAAAATTTGTGCACAGGTGGGGTGGGGGGCGGTCCCTTGGCCCTGCCTGCACCCCCTAGCAGTGCAGGAGCCCTCAGGGGATGTCTGACGGCCCATCCTTAGTGCTCTTAGCGTTGCCGTGGCCACTGAGCTCGCCAGCCATGAGCCTGACTTCTGGCTGAGTGGCAACTTTCCCTGTGGGAGGTGCACTGACCAACAGGAGGTAGTTCCTGCGTTAAGCGCACATCATAGCAACCAGTCGTTCTGCTGTTCGGTCGATTTACATATTAGCCTTTTATTATATAGGATAGGGTCATGATAACTATGTATAGGGCCAGATGGGTACTTGAAGCAGCAGGGGGACTATTCTGTAAAGTACATATTTTTTTAACCTTTTGCTATACATCTGAAACTAATACAGAATAATACTGAATATAAACTGTAATTAAAAAAATAAATTAAAAAAGAATTAAATCACACACACACACACACACACACACACACACACACACACACACAGAGTATGGCATTCTGGAAACCAAGTGAATGAAAGCATATCAAGAAAGAGGGGATTATCAACTTTAGCAATGCTCCTGAGAGATTATATACGATAACCCCTGAAATAGCAACATGAAAGTTACTGAGACTTTTGTCAATATTTGTTTTTCTAGGGTGA